TATATATTATCCCTGTTATATTTATATATCTTATTACAATTGCTAATGCTTTCATAGCTCACGTTATCGATTTCAAGAATCAATTGCTTTTTAGATCGAGTTTCCATCTTAAAGAAGATCTATATAGTAAAAACGGTTTACACAACACACATACATTGCGCATTATATAACAGATGCAAGCTTTCCAAGAACTTGTATTAATTCTTAACTGATCTAGTTAAGCAAAACTTGGATATCATTATTTCTCGTGGAATCTTCATTATATAAATTATTGGAAAAAAGATTTAAAATGTTTTCTTTCTTTATCAGAGATTGAAATCTCAGTAAATAATTCTCCGTTAACAATAATTGGCTTAGAAGACAATTCTTTACGAACTAATGCTGCACACACTTTTACAAATGTATATCTCAAGAGTTTGACTCTCTAAAGAAGATTATTATGTTCTTACATGACGCACGGAAGAAGAATCCAGCAAATCCCATTAGCTTTACATGAACATTACAAATATTGTGTATTTCAAATATCGTGAAATATCATCCAGTTTCTCTCTCTCTCTCGGAGTGAAAAAGAGTTATTAAGATTACTCTCATAGAGCGCACGGAGAATTCAGCAGAATCATTAGTCTTACGTAAGCAAACGCGTTGCAAACGCCTTTTTTCTCAAACACGTCTACTCGCCATTTACTTCTGTTGATTAAACAAAAAAGAGAAGTCATATTGTGAGATTAGCACGCGCGTGATCCGATAAAAGCGCCGAGGGCCGAGGATTCAATTCGCGAAGAAGAGACCGCGCGAATAATAACCTTTGGATTACCGTACGTACGTACAGTATTCGCACGGTAATTGTGCGCACGGCGTGCGGCATATCCATTTGAATAATTTCATCTAGGCGGCAAGGACGTGTACTCACCAGGGACGTGCTCGTGTTGTAGGTGCAGCCGCGACAATCTCGTCGAACAAATCTCGTTCGTTTCTACGGCTCGTCGATGACGGACGTCGGGGAGGTCGGGGACAATTGAGGGGCGTATCTCTTATCGCTCTTATCGTCTTAATGCCCAGAGATCGTAAATATGACGATCGGCTTAACGGCCCGAAGAAGCCCTCGCGTGCCGGTCGCCGTCTCGGCCCCAGCCCCAGCCCCAGCCCCAGCCCCAGCTTCAGC